GTCTCGCTTTTGCGAACCTGGTTCCTCTTAAGAAACCATTAGTAAAGTGAACAAGGTCCCGCTTAAGCTAACACTTCAGCAACAAAAACAATATCAACCAATAGAAAAACATCAGAAGAACCCTCAAAATTTGTTCGGAACCCCGTGAATACAAACCACACATGACAATAAATTATACTTGACGTTCTACACTCAATGGAATTACCGAGACATGAATTTGTGTTCTCTTTGACCCAACATTTGCAAAAACCACAAAAAAAATAACTCATACCTAACAAAGTCTAAAACAATCTCGGGACCTCTCAAAATTAAACTAGACCTCACATAGGCCCAAAATCATCCCTCAAAACAAACATTTGAATTCTAATCCAAGCATTTTTTATTCAAATGTTGAACAAAGTCAATCCAAAGTGTAAAAACATTCTGATTTCACATCTTAGGACCTCAAATCCTAAAAAAAACTAAAATTAGAAATTGACAACTCTTACTGATCAAATTCCACATTTCGGATCAACTGGAATCGACAAAGTTCCATTCAAAATTCAAAACACAAAAAGACATAAAAAAAACTTATTTAACATCTTGGTCTTTTAAACTCAAAACTTACCAAAAATCTCAATTTTTGTCTCAAAGTTCAAAACAAACTTTTCAAAAAACAGTTATAAGAACTCGAAGTCAGTCACTGGAAGACAAATTGGTAATTTCAAGAGAAAAACAACAAAGGAATAACCGGTGAGTACATTATCCACCATTTAAACTCATGATCGTCCTTAAATATAAAGCAAAAAATAAAGTAGCAAGAGTTTAAAAACTATAAAAATCAAGGATAGAGTCTTTAGTTTTCCCTGTCATCACTTTGTCTTGAATGAGAAATAATTTCTTGTTCTCAAATTGACGCTCATGAATATGCTCAACAAAGGAGGAACAAACCTCAATAAAGTAATCAAACCTCTCATCTCCCAAAAAATATGTAACCGCATGATACTATGCGCTAACCTCTAAACATCTCTAGAAAATGTTCTCTCCTTCACACTAATAGCAAAATGAATCCCAATTCTAGAAGTTCTACTCAACGAATAAACAACCATATTGGCCTTACCTATATTATACAAGATGGTGGTGTCATAGTCCTTTAATAGTTCTAGCCATATGTATTGCCTCAAGTTTAGATCTCTCTAATTGAAGATATACAGAAAACATTAATGATCTATGAAAACCGCAGAATGAACCCCATAAAGATAATGTTGCCATAGTTTGAGCACAAAGAATACACCTCCTAACTTATAAATCATGGGTAGGGTGATTCCTCTCATGGGTCTTCAACTGTCAAGAGGCATATGCAATTACTTTTATTTCAGCATATTAGCACCACCTAATCCTACTCTAGAAGCATCATTGTAGATGATGAAGTTCACGCGCTCCTAGGGTAAGGTCAAAATAAAAGTCTACATCAACAAAGTATTGAGTATTTGAATACTCTTCTCACACTTATTAGAAAACTAGAAACTCACACTTTTCCGAGTCAATCTAGTCAAAGGAGATGCAATGGTAGAGAATCTTTGACTAATTCATTAATAATAACTAGAAGTCCTACAAAACATCAAATCTCCATAACCGATGTAGGTCTATTGCAACCCCTTACTAGCTTAATCTTTGTTGGAGCTACCCGAATACCCTCCTTGGACTCCGCATGCCCCAAAAATGCCAAAGAATCAAGCCACAACTCGCACTTAAATAACGTGGGATAAAGTTTTTCTTCCTTCAATATATAAAATACAATTCGAAAGGTTGATCATGATCTTCCTCAGCCATAAAGTACACCGAGATGTCATCAATGAATAATACCACAAAGGAATCTAGATGTGGTCGGAACACCTCGTTCATCAACTCCATGGTAGTTGCAAAGGCTATAGTAAAAATAGATGACATCCCAAGAAGATCATACTAAGCATAACGAGTCCTAAAAGTTATCTTGAAGATATGTGATTCCCAAACTTTTTGTTGATAATCGATCTCAAATCAATCATAGAAAATAAAGATGCACTCTGAAGCTGATTAATGAGTGATAGATTTGTCCATTTATCTCAATAGTTATTGTACTCAATGCCTTATTTTTTCCTTTTTCTGATAAAGTATTGATTATTTTCACATATGAAGGACATTAAACGAGGGAATGACTAATGCTTGGAAAAATAGACAAAACTACAAAAAGATATGCAAAGAGAACATTGTTGATCCCCTCACATGAAGAGTGCATAGCTAATAAATTATGACCTCGCCCAAATTGATAGTTCATAGGACCTTTTTCTACCAAACAAGGTCATAGAACTTCAGTATAAAAGGTTATGTGCCAACTAAGAACAAGGGTCTTGATGCATATGACCCAAAGGGATGTTGTCTAGTGAAAAATAACAAAGCTCAAAAGGTGAACGAAGTTGGTATTCAATGATACCACGATGATTAAAGTCTAATTCAATGGATTTCACTAGCTGAGGTTTAAACACAAGAAGCCTAGAGCATCAGAAGACGAGTTGAGAAGTGTAAGACGTTTTGCCGAGTAGGTTTGGTGAATTGAACTAATGTTGCCAAGTCAGGTGCATGATGGATTCTTGGGCCAGATTTTGGGAAAGTATATAAAGCCTATGGGAAACAATTTTTGATGGAGTTCATTTATAAAGTTTTTGTGCTACATTTTTAAGGAAAAAGAATTGAGAATACTTTACCTTTGAAGAAAATTTTTCAAACTCGTAGGGTCTTACAATTTGGATTTTGAATTTGATAAATTGAAGTTGAATCCCAAGTAGATTTACTCTTAATTGTTGATTTCGTGTAATCTATGAATGCTTTCATGTAAAATATAATTTCTTCACTTTTTGTGATGGGTGGCGGGGTAAAACCTCAAGATCTATGGGTGCTCAAATCGAGTTTGGTGTTGATTAAATATAGTGGTATTGTTCTATGCTTTGTTTTGTTTCTGTTCATGCATAAATTTTACCTAATTCTCATGTGGTTAACTTATGGGTTAAGGTTGAAAACTTCATTCCTACTTCCAATCTCCGGCTGATGCTCAAAAATTTTAATTTGAGCAAGTAATTAATTTAACATAAGAAATTTACGTTTTATTTAAGTAGCTTGCTTGAAATAGGGGTTATGGGTCACATCTTCTTGCCCTATTCTTTAAAGAGAGAATATATTAAGGTATTGGATTGTTTAGGACTATCATATAGATAAGACCGAAAAGAGGTTTCATGCATAGATTGTTTGAGTTGAAATATACTTAGCGCCAATGAAAATGATTTTCCTGTTTATGAATTTTCATCACTATAGAGCAACACAATCACTCCCATGTGACATCGATTTCCGATTCCCGCACCCCTATATTGGTTGTTAGCTTTTGATTTATTTGATACTTTAGTTTAATTGTGATAATTTATAAATACAACTTTATACAAAATTGGTGATATAATCCACCCAATCTTACTATTGCAAATAAAATAATTTAATGTACAGTTTCTTGATAAGTAGTTTCGTACGATATACCATTCCCTGTAAAATTCAACCCCGACTGTTCATTGGATTTCTTACTGACTATGATCGCTCACACTTTAATTTGGTTTGGAAGGTGATGTAAGTGTTATCACTGATCAAAGAAATAATCAATTTGAGGAAGAAGATACTTGTTCTTCACTGTCACTTTGTTTAAGCATCTATAATTAATACACATCTGCACGGATCCATCCTTGTTCCACACAAACAACACAAGAACACCCCATTGAGAAATACAAGGGTGAATAGACCCCTTACTCAACAAATAAAGTTCCTTTAATTCCTTCAACTCACCTAGAGCCATACAATAAGGAGAAATAAAGATTTACTTGCTTCTCGGATCCAAGTCAATGGAAAAATTAATATCCCTATATGAAGGAAAATCTGTAGGAATCACATAGAAAAACTCTAGAACCACGGGCACATAATTCATTGGAGTTAACTCAACACTAGTATCCTTATTGAAGGTCAAGAGGAGGAACACCCTCTATCAATTAATCTCGAATGTATAATGAACGAAATAACCTTAATGGGGTATGAACGACTAGCACTCGTCCACTCAATCTTCAAGAAATCAGTAGAGCTAAAGTCATAGATTTAGCATAAGAATAAAAAATACCATGGTACCAAAAAATCCAATTCATAACTACGATAATGTTAAAGTTTACCGTTTCCAAGATGATTCAAATCTACCAAGGTATCATACAAAGCTAAGAAACAGCAAAGGATCGATACACTTGATCCACTATTAAAGATTCTCCTAGTGGTGTGGAAACAAGAATCGACACATGCAATTGTTTTTGTGAACCGAACGAACTAAAATATCCACCTAGACCAAAACCATAGGATCCTTAGGTTGACTTCCCACCCTCAGTTAGTTGTTGGCTTATACGCATGAACTGGACCATGATGCTAAAAAGAACTACTACCTCTATGTGAACCACATTATCTATACGATGCACCAAAAAATGACCAGAAGAACGCGCCTTTTTGTCTACCCAAACTCCTTTAAGACTATCAGTTCTGCCTCATTGGTGGTGCTAATAATGTACTAGCACTATACCAAAAGAGACCTTTAATGGAATTTAATTTTTCTTTAAGCGGTAATAGTTATATATACAAATACATATACTGACATGTGATTAAATGTCATTGGATCCGATGTTGCTAAAGTCCTTAGTGATATTTGTATTGGGTTCCGGTAAAGACAATAATTATTACTGCTAAAAGTAATTACTTTTAGCGGCTTTTACTATTGTCGTTAAAGCTATTTTAGAAACAATCATATTTATGGCATTTGCTGTCGCTGGCAAAGATAATAATTGATACTCAAGAAATAATTGTAATGACTTCAAACTGATCATAAATTCACCTAGATTCAAATATTTAACCATATTTTATAATATCAAAAACAAAATTCACAAGAGAAATAAGTTCAAAGGTAGTAAGTAGAATTACCAAACTCAAAACAATGTCATTCACTTAAAATAAGAACAAAAAATCTAAATACATTCAAATTCTTATCTTATAGCGGTAAAAGAAAATATGAATTATCAAAATACAAAAAATGCGTTCAACAATGAAGAAAAAAAGGCAATTAAGCCGGTGTTTGTTCCCTAATGCAAAATGTCACAGCTTGCTGGATCAATGTGTCATTCCTCAAACAAGCTCACTATTTAAATGAGTATATCACTGTACACACATAGCTTTAGAGGTTAGATGATAAAAATTGACATACATATACGATATCTTACTCACTATATAATATCCTAATTATCTATACACTCATTCATGAGATGCTTCAGTGCTGTTGTTGCTATTTCTATAGCAGATTGAGGAATAATATGATTAAAGCCAATGAGTTGATCAATAATCATGATATAAGGATACACATAAAGGAATTCAGTAGCACACCACATAGCAAATTATGACTTTGAAAATCAGCAAACAACAATATAAATTGTAGCAGGTTATCATGCCAAAAGATTTCTTAACATACATAAATCATAACTACCGGCCATTAGAATTACAACTCACAGGGAAAGGGAAGATCAACAAGGAAGAATCACAATCTAAGAGTCCCAATTACTTACAATTGACAGCGCAATTGTAGTTTTCTCATGTAAGTTGTGGAAGCGTTTTCATAGTATCAAAATGAGTAGGCCTTAGAAAATCAAACAAAACTCATAGGCTAAAATATTGCACACTTAAAAACATGATTTTGCAGAGATTACCACAAGCCTAGTGTTACCTAGAAGGACTATGATCTGACATACCAAAGCAATAGCCTCAAAATTCATTATAACAAGGAGATTGATTTGGAGGAATACATACTAACATAATCCCAATGTTCTACCTCCCAGAAACGTGGCCTATAACAAATGCAAAAAGGAGGGAGATATTTAGTATATCTGTAATAGTGGAAAATAAGAGAGGCTTCCACGTCTCACTACAATATTATCAAAAGAGACTTTAAGATAACACATTAAAACAATAACAAAAATAAATAGTGCTGGCTTGAGACAAGTAACATAAATTTGGCTAGAAAATAAATAAATTGTAGTAGCTTTAAAATAGTTGATATACACTCACCTATTGGAGGAATTTGAAGTTTCAGTCAGTAACGATTTCTATACCATCAACTACACCTCTTACCCAACCATTGTTTTCAGCTTCTAAACAACGAATGTTTTCCAAGATAGTTAAATCAATTGTGTCACACTGCATTGATGAGTCAAATCGTTTACTATTTTCTTATCCCATAACAAAAATGTCTCATGATTTAAAGCAAAGTAATTAGGTCATTTAAGATTGCTCAAATGACCATTAAAACTCAAAGCGATGTCGAATGGACGAGAATGGTGCATCAGCAAAGGGATAAGACACATCATATATAATGATGGGAAGGCTTGCATTCCTTGCAAAATGACACGATCTAGTAAATTGGATTAAGAATGTGGTATTACAGTATGTCATAGTTATCAAACACTTCCGAAAAGAAGCCAATAAAGTCAACAAGCACCAGCCAAAAACTGGAAAATTCCTCAGACTATCATGAACATCCAGAGTTGCCTCACATATAATTAGAGATCTTTCGATTCTTAACACTACATAAGAGATAAGACTATCCTTCCTATAGTGTAAATATTATTGTTTCTAAACAAAATCCCACCCAACATACCCTTAAAGAGAAGGGAAAAACAGGCAAGACACAAGGGTACACCACAAGACAATTACTCACATTCTCATTCCCATATTTTCCTCCTAGTTTGTCAAATTGATTTTCCACAAATTCTATTAAGCTGGAAATTTTTTCCTTAGAAAGAATTGGTGGGATTTAACATAACTTCAAATGAAACGAGGCTTTTAGAGCTCAAATATATCGCAGCCATCGTGATATTCAGAAATTTGAGAATGAAGTAAGAATTGACTAAGAGAAATTGGTTATCTGAGGGTAAAACTACCTAAAGCAAACTAATCATTAGAAGACCAAAAAAGTAGCTATACACGGAGGAAATGATCATCTTTAAATTGGATTTCCCAATCACTTACTAGTAAAACAAGAAGAAACTCGTAGATGTTTAGTCTCAGGGAGTAAGATTTCATCAGTTTATTTATTGGTGAAGCAAAGCAGTGAGAAGCTCTAGGAAGAAGATAAATATAGACCAAGATAGAACAAGATCGCGGAAGAACACTACTCAAAATAACCTGAAATTCACTACCAAAATCAACAGTTTCAGAGATATAAAAAGGAATTAATCCATTTGGCAGTAGGCAAACAGATTTTAAGCAAAAGTCTTAAGACTCCTACTAGTTTTACTTCATAAAATTAAAACCAAACTGGTCCATTAGAAAACAAAGAGATGCATATTGTTTGGACATGAAAACAGTCTCCAAACAGTGACTGATTTACATTTTCAAACATATTTGAGTTGAAATGAAAAGCAACTAATGATATCAAACGTTTAAATGCTCTCAATTATGCGGAAAATAAAGCAAAAAAAACTTCAAAATTAAGCTAGTTCCTTCCATGATACCAATATTTAAATGTATACAACTAAACATATCAATAAGCTTAAACAATATTTAGATAAAAGGGACAGGGAATTACACTTTAGCAAAATAGAATGTATGAAATGAAACTAAGAATAGAGTACCCAAAAGTGGAATACTAACAAACAACAGGAACCAAATATGAGCTGAAAATATTTAAATAAACAAAAAAAGAGAAGTAAGATACATGTCATTTAACCAGTAACCTACATGTGAGTAAATAAAAATAACTAAATTACTTAAACCGAACACAGAGCAAAATCAAAACTTTAAAGAGATAGTGAAAACAGATTACCTGGTTATGGGTCGCGAACTTGAGACGACGAATTGAAATGAACTATTTCACCACCACATGAAAAGAACTCTGACGAAAGTGTTGAATATTGATTGAAAAGTGATTAGAAGTTCCTATTTAGAAGGCAGAGTAACACATTGTTAGGATTCCTAGTTTTTTCAAAGTCTTTTGTTAGTTGCTAGTAAATTGGTGGGTAAGGTTATGGTTTAGTGGGTCTTGTAGTTGAGCCTTAATTCCTATTTGAAGTGTCTTATATATTTTCTTTATAAATATCAAAAATATAACGTGTCTCATGGTAATGTCAATCTTCTCCATGATGTGCAATGTGTTCCTTGTTTGGCCCATAACTTGTTGAGTGTTGGGCAACTGATGAATCGTGGATATTCTATTTTGTTTGATGACAATTCCTGTAGTATTAAAAAAATTCAGGACACAAAATTATTGCCATTCAAATAACTTAAAGTTAGAATGTTTTCTCTTCAATTATCTAATGTTCAATGTTTTGCCTTAGTCACCAAAGGCAATACGGAAGACAATTTGTAACATTTGTGGTATGGTCACTTGAATTTAAAGGGGTTACAATTATTAGGTCATACAAATATGGTTCTTGGTTTGCCTACAATTGAAGCTCTTGAATTTTGTGAAGGATGTGTTTATGGGAAGTAAAATCAAGTCATTTCCTTTAGGTAAGTCTTGGAGACCATCTGTTTGTCTTGAACTGGTGCATGTTGATCTATGTGGTCCAATGAGCGTTGTTTCCTTAGGTGGAAGTCGATATCTTTTTATTTTTACAGATGATCATAGTCGAATGAGTTGGTATACTTCTTGAAATTCAAATAAAAAACATTTGAGAACTTAAAGAAATATAAGTCTTTTGTTGAAAGGCAAATAGGTTGTAGAATTAAGACTCTTCGAACAGATAGAGGTGGTAAATTTATATCAAATGAATTCAACACCTATTGCGAGGAAAATAGTTTTCACATAGACATCACAACACCGTATACTCCAGAGCAGAACGGTGTTGTCGAACGTAAGAATTGGATAGTTGTTGAAATGGGTAGGATCATGATGCAAGCTAGAGGTGTATAAAAATATTTATGGGCCGAAACTGTGTACATGCTAAGCATTTCACTCACCAAGGTTGTTCTTAATCAAGCACCATACGAAGGATGGAGAGGTAACAAGCCCAAGGTAAGCCATTTACGTGTCTTTGGATGTATAGCTTATTCTTTGATGAATTCCCATGATAGATATAGGCTTAATGAAAATCAAAGAAATATATCTTTGTTGGATATAGAAACCCAATCCAAATCTTATAGGTTATATAATATGCTGAGTGGAAAAATTGTGATCAGTAGAAATGTTATGTTTAATGAAGATGCTAGCTGGAACATTGATTTTGAGAATATTAGTTAAAATACTAAATGTCGCCTCAGATGAAGCTTTTGAGAAAGAACCTACAATAGTTTTTGTTCCAGGGAACACATCCAGCTCTTCTCCAACAAGTAGCAGTCGTGCTACTCATCAGTCAAGAACCTCTGCTCCAGCAAGTGATCATAGCTTGACCCGCCTAGGAAGTGGCAGCAGTTCTTCTTCAAGTGATTCTTTCAGTGAGACTCCACCAGCAAAATTCAAATCGTTAAGGGAGATTTATGGAAATTGTTCTTCTGCTTTGTCTGTTACTGAGTCCTATTATTTCAAAGAAGTTGTAGACAATAAAGCATGGGAAAATGCAATGATATAAGAGATGCAAGAAATTGAGCAGAATCAAACATGGAAATTGGTAAATCTACCGGAAAGAAAGAAACCCACTAGACTCAAATGGGTGTTCAAAATCAAGTGTCATGCAGATGGGAGCATACAACGATACAAATTAAGGATTCTAGCTAAAATATATGCACAACATGAAGGTATTGATTATGATGAGACATTTACACCTGTCTCTCACTTTCAAATGTTGAGAATACTCATATCTTTGGCTACTTAACTGAGTTGTACCTTTTATCAATTTGACGTTAAATCTGCATTCTTAAATAGGGATTTGTAAGGGGATGTTTATGGCTCCCAATATAAGGCTTTTGGTGTTAGTGGCAATGAGAGCAAAGTATACAAGCTCAAGAAGTCTCTTTATGAGCTAAAACAAAAGCCACGGGCATGGTACAACAAGGGTCGTCTCAACAAGTTTAGGGGCCTAAATGAATTTCAGAAAAAGACCCTATTATTTTTAGTTGACAATCATCTTATGAATAATTATAACATACTCAGTGTAATCGTTCAAATAATGTCTGGAGAGACAGGATATATGTAGATATTATTAAGTAAGAATGCAAATAATGTGAATTGTCAATGCAAATTATGTAATATAAAGTTAGAGTAATAAAACACGACTCAAAATATTTAAAAATACGATGATATTAAAATAGTATTGCAATGAATTGGCAATGAATTTGATAAATATATAAATATTATTTTTAAAAATGTTGATTAGTTTTAGTGTTTGAAATTTTAATAAAACATCAAAATAAATTTGATCTTTCCATAAATGCATAACAGTAGATTTTACATAATGTATATTGTTCGAACATTTAATAGATTTCACAATACTCAATAGTGAGAGAATAAAAAATAGTGAAAGGAGAATAAAGAGAAGTAAATATAAGAAAAAAAATTTGGTTCATTATGATCGTTAGAATATACATGAGCTAGACAATAAGATAGATAGTCACGTGTGATACTAGAAAGGATACTTTAATTAACTAGCCACATAATAATGTAGAAAATATTCTACAATCAACTAAACAATATTCAATTTCGCAACTATAACTTCTATAAAAAAAAATTATTCAAATTTATCAATACATTAATTTTTTTTGACAATATATATACATATTTTGGAGAAAATGGAGGCCCCAAAAAATTGTAGCCCAAGAGATTGCTTTAGTAGCCTTATGGTTAAGACGGACCTGGGTACAACAAAGTTGACTCGTACTTTTTGAGGAATGGATTCAAAAGGAGCGAGAATGAGCCTTCATTGTATGTCGAGAAACAAGGTACAAGTGATTTTTTGGTAGTTTATCTCTCTGTGGATGACATGATCTCTATGGGGTCATGTGAAACTTTAGTTGCTCAATTTAAATCTTACATGATGAAGGAGTTTGAAATGTCAGATTTAGGTATTTTTCCATCCTTTCTTGGTCTTCAAGTGAAATAGGTAGAAAACGGTATTTTTGTTTCTCAAACGAAGTATGCAAAAGACCTCATCTTCAAGTTCGGTATGCATCATTGTAAAGCGGCTGCCACACCCCAGAATGCAAAAGAAAAGTTTCAGCTTGAAGATGGCACAGATGTTGCCGATCCTAGTCACTACAGAATCTTAACTGGAGGTTTCAATTACCTAATACATACTCGTCCTGATATTATATTTTCTATTAGCGTGTTGTCTAGGTATATGCATAGTTCTACCAAGCAACATCTTGGTGTTGCTAAAACAATTATATGTTATGTTGCTGGGACAGTTGACTTCGGGATTTGGTAATCTAAAGATGTAGATTTCAGCTTGACGGTGTACAGTGATAGTGATTGGGCAGGAAGTATAAATAAAAGCAAGAGTACTTCTGGAAATGTTTTCAATTAAGGATCAGGAGCGATTTCTTGGAGCTCACGAAGCAGGATATGGTTGCATTATCATCAACTGAAGTTGAATATGTTGTTGTAACTATAGCAGATTTCCAAGCCTTATGGTTACCAAGAATGTCAGTTGATATTCTCAATCAGCAAGAGGGTGCAATAAAAATATTTTACGATAACAAGGCAATAATTGCAAAGACAAAGAATCCGGATTTTCACAGCAAAACAAAGCACATAGACATCCGTTAACATTTCATTTATGACCACAAAACAAGAGGTGATATAGAGTTGAAGTTTTGTGGTTTTAAGGATCAAATTGCAGATGTTCTCACCAAGGCATTCCCATAAGCCAATCATGATCAGTTCCAATAGAACTTGGAGTTTGTAATTTTAAATCAAAGGGGAGTATTAAATATTGATTAAAACGTAATTAGATGTTCCTATTTAGTAGGCAGAGTAACACATTTGTTAGTTGAGTCAAAGTCTAGTGTTAGTTGGTAATATTTAGCTTAGTGGGTAAGGTTGTGATTACGTAAGTGGATTTTGTGGTTGAGTCTTAATTCCTATTAAAGTGTCCTATGTATTTTCTTTATGAATATCATAAATATAACGTAAAAGTTCTCTGCAACTCTTCTTCTATCTTCTCATACATTGTTTCTTCTTTCTTTATTCTCCAACAAAAAGTTTCCGATGACAGAGCGCAAAGATCATAGACGAGCTCAAATTCAAAATTCTTAAGTTAGCAACTATGGAAATCAGTTGATAGCAGAGGCATGTAAGCACTTATCAAAAACCACTAAGAAAAGGAGGATTACCAACTAGAATGAGACATTGAGAGATTGAGAAGAGAGATGAGAGGATAGAAAGAGAGATATATTACCTCTTATTATGCTTTAATTTGAGCTGTAAGAAAAAAATTGATGTGTGATTTAGCTCATATCCATAGTAGCCATGAAAGGAAGCTTCATATCAACTCAGTCTTCAGATGGAATGGAGAAGATAGATTGAATATTTTGAAAATTTGAGGATTATTTAATAAGAGTTAAGGTATCAGAGTGTTTGGATATTTTAGGGTAAGAAGAGGATATTTTTTCTATTTTCTTTTAAAAGAAATTGTTACAAGACTTATTTTAGTAACTTTAAGGTAATCACCGTAAATGTGGCTTAAAAACACTATTTAGCAGCAAATATATTATTTCCTCTAAATAATTGCAACTAAATCCTACTTTTGTTGTAGTGCATAAAAGGAAAATCACTCTATAACTGCCATGAACACATAATATGACGGAGAAATTTTTTATCCTCTCGCAAACCTGCAAACCCTCTCTGCCCCTTCCGCAATAATATCTAAGGAATGCCTAGAAAGCTCGCAGAAACATGCCTCACACTCAGTCATAGACTGACTGCCCTGAGTAAGCTCTCAGACCTCATCCAAGTCTACTCTCTCACATTCCGAAGAATTAACAGGTCCTAGAAAACACTAAAAAACATCCCACTAACTTGACTATACCTCACAAAAGTCTTGCACCACTCTCTAGCTCAACCACGAATCTGAAGTGCAACAAACCATGAGCATCAA